AAAAAAAATATTCACAAAAATATGATTAAGATTAAATAAATTTATACAAAAAATAAAAATAAACTTTCAAATTAAAATAATTTATTTTTGTCTAGTTTAAAGTTTAGTAAAAACAAATAAGAAAGCAAATATAATCATATATTTAATAGGGAAAGTTTATGATATTTTTGAAAAGAGAAATGGTGTGTTTGTAATTATCAAAATCTTAAGGGATGTTTTTGAAATTTTCTCAAATTATATACATAATACATGTTACACCGTTTGAGAAATTAAAGTAAAAAATAAAAATAAAAATCATGCACTTGAGAATCGGTATGCTTATACACACTACAATTTGATCTTAGTTCCAATAAGATTTCATTCTTAAACAAAAATCTATTTTTTTTTTATTTATTTCATCTATAAACGTATTCATTCTGTAGCGAATCTTCGTGTGTGAAAGAGATAAACATGAGAAATCATAAATTCGAGAAAGTACGATACATGTACAATTTGTACTTGTGTGAATATGAAGGTTAAACATAGAAAATCATAAACTCGAGATGCAACCGAGTTTTATTCTCTATAATGTGTGATAAAAATGACTTCTAAAGAAAAAAGTCATAGTCGATAATTGCTGAGAATGTCTGGCTATCATAGTGTCTTTTCACAACACCGTGTAATTATTGTGCATGATAATGAAAGGAAATAATAGTGCTTCTTCTTGGTCTTCTTGCATCGTTCTTGCACGCTTTTAACCCTTACAATCATTAATTTCCCAATGGAGAAAAAAGAAGCAGCTACAATAATTAAGGTAAGGTCCATGGACAAAATGGTCCATGGCATGTTACCATGGTGAAATTTTAACTAGTTCGAAAATGTTTCTAGCGTAACTTTTAATGTTTGATTATGAATTACGGTAATATTTTACTCGTCCTCTTTTATCTCAACAAGAAAAGTCATAAGAGTTTGGGAGGACTATTCAAGAACTTTCGTGCGTGAATCGATGATCCATTCTCTAAAACTCATCTAATTTTATCGATGATAAGTTTTTCCTTACATAAATATGTACGCCCACCCCAAAAAAGAAAAAAAAAAAAAAAAAAANNNNCCCACCCCAAAAAAGAAAAAAAAAAAAAAAAAAACCCCTAATGAGGAAGAGTATCGAGTCCAACTAATGTGCGGCACGTTGAAATAGTTTTCGTGTTCTTTTTTTTATTTATTTTTTGTTGGATAGTCTTTGTTTTTCATGTAGACTCTCCAACAGTTGGTGGGATGGTAGGTAATAATATATAGCATTATGTGCTTACATTACGAATGTCTTTTTTACTTATAACTAATCGAGTTCAGTCGAGCATATCAGATATGTCACAACTACAAAGTGCTTCAACGTCAAATTCCCAAACGATCCCTATGTTACAAGTGATTGTTCAAAATCATTTCCATGACTTTCCCGTCAAAAGATTGCAATCCAAATAAATTTAGCCCATGTTTGATCCCTATTTTTTAAATTTCATTTTTTTTCTTTCAAACTCGTTTTTCAACTATACATTTATGGGATCCACAACTTTTTTCAACCATACATTTTATCAATTTTTATCAAAATCCACTAAAAATCTGATTTTAAGCCAAATTGAACAGATACTTAATTTCCTACTAACTAGATAATCGGCTCAAGAAAAAAAAAAGTAAAAACAAAATTAGGTATTTACTTCTCAATGCAACATTTCATATATAAAAAAAATTATTGATTGGAGAAGTCTTTCACTAGCAAATAAAGTTAATAACATTATTCATTATAAGTTAATTAATGTTGAAGGAGCACGTGTTTGCGAGGATGATTAGTATTTAATAGTAGTGTGAACTCTTAATTGTGTAATTAAGAAATGCACTTGTATACGTACTTTTTTGTAAGAATAATCAAATTGCAAAAGCACTTTACCAAGAAAAAGTCGAAAAGTTACTATATATAACAAATATTAATGGTAAATTATTTAATTATAAAGTAACTGAAATCTTTCTATACTCTTCTTGTGGTGTAAAAAGTAATCAATAAATAATTCCAATATTAAATAGTTCCATTAGTATTTTTTTAGTTAAATAAAAAAGCTCAACTTTTAACATACCGCTCTATTTAAAAAGATTTAAGTCGTTTACGATCACGAAAGAATTAAGTGATCGGTCTAATAGAATTTAAGACACAACGTAATATAACTTAGTTCATTCCGAACAATAGTTTGATCTAAAACTCCTCGATGGACGTAGAATTTGGGGTGAATGTGATTAAAGGAATGACCAATTATGTAAAATTATTTAACTTTAGTTGCTAAGTGCTATTTTTATTCATACTTTTTGTAGAAGAGCTTCTCGAAGTAGTTATCTTATGTCAGTTTTCTCTGAAAAAAATTTATACCAAATAAAAAACTTTCAAAAAATTGTCCAAACATATTCAAAAACTATTTATTAACCTCAGAAACTGCTCGAGACGCTAAGTGGGTCACAAAAATACTTTAATGAGAAATGTTCTCGTAAGTATCGTACGTTAAGTTAAGTAACCGTGACATGGCGCACGTCGCACCAATTAATTAGTAAATAAGTTTATGATGACTCTCAAGCACTAGATTAGATTTGTTGGATTGATTTGACGTGTCAATATTGCTTAATATAAGTCAACAACTATACCTCCGTTTGGTGGAGATTAAAATCTGTTTTTTACCTGATTTTGGTAAAAATCGATTAAATGTGTTATTAAAAAGTTGTGGGTCCACAACCATGTGATTAAAACTAATTATTTACTTTAATTTAAATTTAAATTTAAATTTTAAATCCTACCAAACAGAAGAATATAATGGAACATTGTTCATATTTTAATAAACCAATTTGAAATTTCACTTGAACATCAGTGAATAATTTTTACTCTATTGGAAGCTTCATTATTCATTCGGTCGGCAAAGACTATAAAGATGGCGGATATACGGCTGAGATTTGATTAGAAAAATCAGTAAAGTGAGGATATGCTCTACAGCTTGCGGTCTGTGCTCCTATTTGGCTAACCTTAACCTTAAATCATGAAAACAGAATTCTTTTGACTACGTTGTCTACACCATAATGTATTTATTGAGAAATTAATTTTCAAAATAACACGATTATTGAATTTTAAAAGTTTTAAGAATTGCTACTAAATTTTTACAAATGTTTCTTACTTTTCATTGAGCGTGAAAATGTTATTCTCATTCATTACTCGTCGTTTTGAAAGTTAACAACTTTAACGACTAGAGGGGAAAATTTCATACATAAAATCTTGTCTACCGCGTCATCATATTCGCTAGCTTTTAAAATAACAAGCGATAGAATGACGAATAAAATAACATTTTGATAAGTTCGACGACGACTCGAAAACTTTAAATTTCAATATCAATTCGAAAGCATTTAGGAAATCACGAGTATGAAACATTTGAAAAAAGTTCTAGGTTAGGCAGGTAGTATGTGCCATCCGACTTCCAACTATGTTTTGTGATGGTCCCGCCAAGCGAATGAAAGAAAGCTCGAAGAGTTTACTGCTTTTTCAATATTAAAGAAATAAAATAACTCCATAATGGTCAACAACTCGAATTCCCTTAGGGCCACTGAAATGAGTATTTGGCTTTAAATTTCAGGACGTCGTGAGATTAGTCGAGGTGTACGTAAGTTGGTCCGGACATTCACGGTTATAAAAAAAAAAAATAGATGCTTTGAAATACAAAGATTTCTTTGTTTGAAGTGAAATCTCAAATTAGATCGACTCAACCAAGTATTCGATCTTGGTTGGCCTTTAACTTCTATTGTCTATGGATGACAGTTTTGAGGGAACTCTGGCAACTGGAAACGAGCAAAAAAGGACAGTTCACTTCACTCTCAAAATTTCACTATTTGTCAACAAACAAAAGGCAAAAAACTAATCACTCCACTCAATTATTTTCCCACCTCTCCCTCTCTCTCTCCCACTTTTTCTTCATCGCCCAAAGCAAATAAATTCCCCCACAAACCTATCAAATATCTCACATTTCAAAACAAAGTATTTGGTTACTATAATTTTCTTTGCCAATAAAACACTGAAGCAATGCAACTACTAGCCTTTCAAGCACTCTTGCTGCTGCTTCTTCTTCTTCTTCTACCGCCACGCCTTATACTATCTACCTCTGAAACCACCACTTCTTCCGGCCATGCAATACCGTACCCCGCCTTTGAAATCTTTAATGTTAAAGAAACCATAGCCGCCGAGACAAAAATTCGAGCCCCAAATGAATACAATGAACTAACTTCTGATGATCATAGTGATGTGAAGAAGAACAAGACGTGGAAGCTTCACTTGGTTCATAGAGATAAGCTTTCTTTTGCCTGGTTGAATGACCATCACCGCCGTTTCGAAGCTCGCATGAAAAGGGACGTTAAAAGGGTGGGTAGCTTGATTCGCCGTCTGAAAGCCGGCCATGGAGGAGGTGGTGGTGGAAAGGCTAGTTATGAGGTGGAGGATTTCGGATCAGATGTGGTTTCCGGCATGGACCAAGGTAGTGGAGAATACTTTGTGCGGATTGGTGTTGGAAGTCCAGCCAGGAGTCAATACATGGTGATTGATTCTGGCAGTGATATTGTCTGGGTCCAATGTCAACCTTGTAGCCAGTGTTACCATCAGTCGGATCCAGTATTTGACCCGGCAGATTCGGCTTCATTTGCCGGGGTGTCGTGTAGCTCCTCGGTTTGTGATCAAGTCGAAAATTCGGGTTGTCATGCGGGTCGGTGCAAGTACGAGGTCTCGTATGGTGACGGGTCTTACACTAAAGGTACACTCGCCCTCGAGACGCTCACCATTGGACACACACAGGTCCAAAGCGTGGCCATTGGATGCGGTCACATGAATCGGGGCATGTTTGTTGGAGCTGCCGGGTTGTTGGGTCTTGGAGGGGGATCCATGTCGCTCGTGGGTCAATTAGGCGGGCAAACGGGTGGAGCCTTTAGTTATTGCCTCGTGAGTCGGGGCACAGACTCATCCGGGTCACTGGAATTCGGCCGCTCGGTATTACCCATAGGCGCTGCATGGGTACCACTACTCCGAAACCCGAGGGAACCAAGTTTTTATTTTATTGGGCTTTCGGGTCTTGGGGTCGGTGGCATGCGGGTTCCAATAGGCGAGAACATTTTTCGACTCACTGAATCCGGCGACGGAGGAGTGGTGATGGACACCGGGACTGCCGTAACAAGGCTACCAACCGCAGCCTACGTGGCTTTCCGCGACATATTTCTCGCCGAAACAGCCAATCTTCCTCGATCGCCTGCTATTTCAATATTTGACACATGCTATGACTTGAACGGGTTTGAGACCGTTCGGGTACCAACCGTATCGTTTTTCCTGTCGGGTGGACCGATCCTAACTCTTCCAGCTAGGAACTTCCTCATTCCAGTGGATGAAAAGGGCACATTTTGTTTTGCATTTGCTCCATCACCTTCAGGACTTTCCATAATAGGGAACATTCAACAAGAAGGTATACAAATCTCTTTTGATGGAGCAAATGGTTTTATGGGATTTGGGCCCAATGTTTGCTGATGTATTGTTGAGTGAATTTAGCTTGTAATGCTAGCATCTTTACATTATAGTATATACTAATACTATGAATAATTATATTTTATTACATGTATTAAGGTTGTGGGCTATTGTCCTGGGTACATAATGATGATTAACGAGGTAAAAAAGTTCACTTTTCCTGTTATAATAGGAATTAAGCCCACATGTTCCAGTGGGAAAAGGAATTACGACTAAGAAAAGCGAGGACTAATAAGAGTCAAAACTTCGAAAAATTGTAATTTATATGAATTTTACAGTCAAAAAGCATTGGACAAAAAGGCCATTTACTAGGGAATTTGAGCAGTCTTTTGCACCAAAAAGAGGATCCAAGAGGACCCTTTACAGCCCCCTCCCAGCCCCCACAACTCACACACAATGGAGCCAAACAAATCCAAATAATGTTATTTAGCACAATTAGTGCTACAACACCAATTTAGGTGATACTTAGTCTCTGTTTGGCCCCCATTTTTTTCTATTACATTACATTAATTTTTCTCTCTTCGTTTCAACCACACATTATCAAATAAAATAATATTACACACAAATTTAAAACTTTTCATTACTTTTCTACCACACATTCTCCAATCAATTACTATTCCAAAAATTTTCAACACCCCAAAATGGGGGCCAAACGAGGGCAAAGTGGCATTGAACGAGAGATCTAATTGAACGAGTCTCATAATTTCATATTTAATTGAGTGTTACTTGAACTAATATTGTAACATCAATAAAATTAGATAGCATTATTCAACCGAATATGTCCTGGTACGTGACAAAACACCTCGTTTCTTGATCCATCACTTTTCTTTCATCATTTTCAAGATTCCTGTGCACTCATTTTTCACAAAAAGCGTGTAGAGAACAGAGAGTTCAAATCATGAGAAGAGGGAGCCACCACCACTGGTGAACATGTGAATCAATCACTAAGAATTTTCATGCATACCCTGAATTTGAGTTCTTTCAAGTAATGACTTTTTCCAAAGTCATTTGCTTTTTGCCTCTGCAAGATTCGATGTTTTTTAGGTTGGAATAGTATATATAGAATACAAATATTGCTTGAGATTTGTTGTCCAGCAACACAATAATCAACATTTTCTTATTTATTTTTCCATTTTTTCGACAATATTAACAAAAATCAAATCGTACTCATTACACATTCCATTGCTCTGAAGGTCGTGATGACTAGTAAATCAGCGTTCTAAAGAGCTTTTGAACATTGTTCAACACGAGTCTTCAATAAGTAACATTTTCAGTGGCTTCACATTAATGAGCATGGCAATGATATTAATATAACTAAATGAACTTGTTCATCTACATAAACTATGAACATGTGAAACATAGTGAGCATCCACAAAAATTTAACAAGGATAAAAAGCAGTGCTGATTCTGCTTTTGTCCTAGGTTCAAAGCCCTACAAATATTTAAGAAATAACAAAAGTAAAGACTTGTTGTCCAAACATCATAACATTCAGATGGTGCCTCTCATGAAAAGAAGTTCGACTGGATAAAACAAGTAATCGAAACAAGTTTCTCATTTTTCCAACATTCAAAATTGAAATTTCCACAAGAAAACAAAAGGATAGCTAGGAATTTGGATGCTTAATTATGTTTGTTCAGTCGTCATCTTCATCATCGTCATCCCCAGCAGCTGCATTCAGTGCATTCAACCTCTCTATCAACTTAGCTTTCCTTTCCTCATAAGTTAGCTTTTTGAGGTTGTATCTGCAAAAGTAAACCAAAAATGAACTGCAGTTAGTGATCGAGGAAATGATCAACTAAGCATTGTGAATCCATATTTGGCACCAAACAATTTGTTCAGGAACACATGGTACTTTGCAAAGCCAGTAAAACCCTCTTTCATCACAAATAACATAAGCTCCTCAGAAAAGGCCTTACCTCTTGTGCTCCTTTGGTGGCTGCTTGTCAGATTTCTTTTGTGTGGGATCAGCGCGAATGGCTGCATGGACTTTCTTGTACATCTCCTCTAACTCATCTGCATTGAGACCCTTCTTAATGTACTCACTAAAGTGAGACTGGTATTTCTCGGGCTCGTCCTCCTCCAAAGTCTGCACATTCAGAGGAACACTTAGTTTGCCTCATGTGAGTGAAGGCGGAGAAGAAAACACTGAGTGGAAACTTTGCAGGCTGTTGTTTGTTAATAAAGTACACACCACGTTCGGAAGTTCGGATTAAATCTATGCATTTTGAATTTTATGGATACAAAACGCTGGGAGTATATAAGAATAAGGACTCACCCTCATGTATGCAGCAACATGACCTCCATAGACGTACTTACGATGAACCTCGGGATCAAGTTGCTTGCTCTCTTTGCTGTATCCAGCAAATCTCTTGTCGCTATGTGGGATGTCTAGACCACCATCCAATGCTCCCTATAATCGAGATACAAAACAACTTTTGAGGATCAAGAATCATATTATCTAATTCCAAGAAAATCTAAGACTACAACAACAAGCAAAGTTATGTCCAACTATTACATCTAAATCTACTGAAAAGAATTTACATCTAAAACAAGCAAATATATTTTAATTAGTTATATGACAATGAAATGACGCTGTAGTTAACAATAAAGCAATTAATTACGTTCAAAGGTGCTATTTTTAACTTGTAGAACTTCAAATGTCAATATGTAAAGAGCTGGAATGCTACCTTGAGGGCACCAAAAACACGGTTGCCAGTTGTAGTTCGTATAAGGCCAACATCCAAGAGCGCACGGAAAGGCCTCCGGCTTTCAGCAGGTTCAACTGAGAAATCCTCTCCAGTAGCCTGAATGTAATAAGTGACAATCAATAAAAGGATCTACATAAAAGATATCTCATGGCAAGCAATAACAGAGCAGATGAAGCGAGAAAATAGTAGTTACCTCAACATTTCCTTCATACTCTTCATCCATTTCAAGGGTTTTGAGAACTCGGCGAGCCAACAGAAGTCCAGTGCAGTAAGCTAGTTTTCATTAACAAGTGTGACATTTTTGAATTTGTTATGCGGAAAAAACTGACAAATTGGTTTAAGTAGCAAACTTACAAGCAGCATAATTTGTGAGCCCAACTTCAAGGCCGTACCGAGGCAGCTCATGTGCATAAGCAGCCGCAAGAACCATATCACCAGCAATGCTAGCAGATACAATTTGTGCAACTATGTCTTGGTTGGTCTAGAATCATGTCAAGGTAATTTGCCATTTCATAGGGAACATATTGAACAATCTTCTAACATGACCACAGCAATAACACTATTACTACAAGCAATGTGATGAAAGTTCCCTATGTGGTGAAAATAATTTCTATAAAGATTCTAACTTAAAATCCACCATTCAGTAAATTCAAACTGCTAAACTCAATAAGCCAACTTTAATGTCCATAAAAGAAAATAAAGGAAGTCAACAAACGAAAAAAATAAAGAAACAAAAATAAAACGCTATGAAAACAATTAGATACTTGGCTGGCAAAATTTTGTCCATACATTTTCAAGCGGAACAAAGAAAAATCTCTAGGCATGCATGTAAGAGTAGTCAGAAAAGCATTTACTTTACAAAAAAAGGAAAATGACAGTGTATCAGGATACAAATCGCACAACAAATCGATATTTTGGAGTGTTGTACTTGTTTTTGTCCTGGTTGATCATGCGGATTCTAGCCCGGTAGTCAGTCTTTCCCTCTGCAGAATTGAACAAGACAATTAGTGAAGTTAACAACTAAGAACATGAAAGCAGAGGTAGGGATGCCATACCTCTCCTCCTCTTATATTTGACTTGGAATCGCTTGAAGTATGCTCTTGACTTTTGGGCTTTGACGAAGACCTGTGAATTATGTAAAACAATGAGAGGACTCCATTATGCTGCTCACCTTATTAACGCAACCACGGCGTGAACAAATCACATGGAAATTTCCCAAATCATATAACGTGAAATAGAAATTATCGAAATTTTAATTTACAGTACATAAAAAGTTATTTATGCTCAAACCAACCATAGCAAACAAACCAGACCACATAAAACCAAAATAATTTAAGGATTTGGCATATACACGTGCACAATATAGAATTGAAGATACGTAAAAAAGCTTAACATCAGATAATCAACGATCCAATATGGAACACCAGGAAATGAGATATAACTCTCGTCACCAAAATACCAAGAAATTATTTTTGCTCTTGAGAATTCAAAATCAAATTAAACGAACAGTGAACATTCTCGGAAACAAAATCAATTAATCGTTTTATTACTAGCAGATAAAAAGATTTAAGAACAGGAGAACCATACACATGATCAATAACGTTTCATTAGATCTGAAATCTTACCATTTTTCACTGCCAAAGCTTTTCCTCGAGGTGGGGTGCGGGGTTTTGGAGTGGGAAGGTGAATGACGATAGCCGCAGAAGAGGTTCAAATAACACAAAAAATAACCAAAACCCTAGTGGGCTAAAGGGTTAAACTAAGGGTTAGGATTCATTTTAGGGCTTATAGTATATTTTGCATCAACGGATGTAGATTGTTAAATGAGCCAAATATTTGGGCCAAATAGAGCCCTTTAAATCTTAACCGGACCTTGGCCCACATGGACCAATACATTATTATTGTACAGTTTATGTCAATAAAGTTTTTATGTTATATTGTTATTTTATAATATAATAATATTTGTTATATTTTTCACTTGTTTAAAAGATCCATATTACATCACTAAAACCATTGTAGGAAACGAAATCGAACCCCAACAAATAGTTTAGTTTGATTTGAAAAAATTTCAAACCATTTCAAAAAGTATGGGTTAAAATAGGCAACAGATCACGCAATTGTATTCACCTCTGAATTTTGTTATAAATTATTTGTGGCCAATGAGAAATTCATATAGGCGGCGTGCTCTTCAAATCGGGAAATAAATATATATACATACACATATCGGATGAATGATATGCATAATGTTGAATAAATTTAAATGTAATTTTATGATTACGATAACGCTTCTTTGTATACGATATTTTTTGTCAACATTCCACGTCGTTTCTTCTTTTTGTTTTCTACTTTTACTAATACTTTTGTTTTTTGCATTGAAACAACGCGAGAAAATGTGACATATGGTTGTCCATGAGAGAATACATGTTCAGGGCGGTATATTTCAATAATAGACATTGTTTGTCCTCGAGCCTTGTTTAATTGTAATTGCAAAGCATGTACGTATTGTAAATTGTTTTCTTTTTGAATTTGAATGTATATCCTCCATGTAAATGGAGTTAATGGAATGCGCAAAAGGAAAATTTATTTTTCAGCATGTTGTTCGATGATTATTTCTGCATAGATAATACGTTTCTTGAAATCACGACAAATTATTATTATTCAATTGCAAAGACCGTTGGTGGGTCCAGATTTCTCGGGAGTATAACCGGATAATTTTTTTTCAAGATTAACTTATGTAGCAAGATGACAGCAATGTCTTTGTAAACTCCTCTCGATAAAATTGATTTGTGTCGTCTATTGCTTCGTCGAAGCTGACAAATTACTCACTTTCTCCATTAAATAACACTATTAATTTATTATTGAGGTAGTCAACATCCTATTTTTTGTTAAAAGAATTTCATGTTGTGTTATATAATCAGAAGAAGATGCATTTTTCGTTAAACTTGGGAACACTATATTGATTAAGTGTGCCTCCGAAGTTTCAGCATCTTCACATGCTATACTATCTCCTTTTAAGTCGAGGAAGTCATCCTCTATATAAATTTCTGACTCATTACCAATTTTGATTAAGCATCGTGTAAATCAATTGACCAATATTATTTTTAATATGTAATATTAGGTTTGTAAAAAATTAACTGTATAAGTAATGTTGTTGAAGTTAATTATATATGTGGTATTATTATAATTTCTTTTTATTTGCATGTAACAATGTTTTTATTAATTGTATACTAATAATGAGCAATAATTGCGTTTAGTGGAAATTAATTGACTTAAATTTTTAAGGCAATAATAATTATTAATTATCTTATTTAGAGGAAATAAATTGAATCATTTGATATTCCGTAGTGAATTATATATAATTGTACACTAATAATTAGTAATCATTGCATCTAGTTGAAAATAATTGACTTAATTTTGTAAAGCAACAATAATTATCAAATATCTTATTTAGAGGTAATAAATTGAATCATTTGATATTCCCTTTTTATCTAAACTTATGTATATTCATATGTAGTTGTCAAATGAGGGTAAATAATAAATACAACATATTTAATGCAACCTTTCAATTTTTTTTTTATTTTTTTTCTTTTTATAAACCATGTGGGTATTTGACATATAGGTAAATATGTAAGAGTAAATGCCATATTCAAAAGTTTCCCTCCAATCCCCACTTTTAATATAGATTGTAGATAGATTAGTAACATTATGCGGGTAAAAGATCTATTTTTTTCCTCCAAATGCTACCTTTATATAATTATATTTCGTCTGCGTCGAAAAAAAAAAATTCCATCTCCTGTCCAGTCGATGGTTCAGTACTGACAAGATCAAAATATCTATTAGTAACGAACTCGGAGAAAGTCGACCAAAATAATGTTGTATCCAGTGATTCCAGCCATTGTGGCCATCCTTGTTGCAACCTGCAATGGTAATACTCCCCGAACCCAACACGACGATTAAAATTAGATTCATATCCATTATCATACAATCATGTCTAGCTTCTGGAAAACAAAATTTGATGAAATTAATAATCAGCAAGAGAACCGTTTAAAATCTCCAGGTGTACAAAGCAAATGAGTTTGTTTACAACAAAATCCTCACAACATATCCACTCCACATTTAGCTTTTCTTATTTCCTATCTTTTTATGGGGGGCAGGGCGGTAGGTTATGTTCTATTATTTGAACACATAACACACTTCCATACAATTGTAGCATCCTCTTCCATTTGTATTTGTAGCTTAGATATAGATATGCCACCAATTCTTGTGTGCTCCTATAGAAGGAAAAATGACCAGAAAGTTAATTTGCATTATTTCCCCAGACACTATCCCAAGCACCACTTGGAGCAGCCTTGGGTCCATCAAGGTAATTTTGAAATCCCGAGCGATCGGGAGCTCTGGTAAGCCCTTCACCGCCAGGAGGATGAACTTTCTTGGGTTTTGTTCTCATTCCCAGCAGTCTCAGCACAAATCTGGCAAGCTCCCCATATAGTAACCCGGATCGATCAAACAACTGAAAATGAAAAGACTGAAGATAAATGTATGCGAAAAGGCCCATCAGTTTTTGACAATAAAATTTCGCTATTTATTGGTTATTTTCAGATTTTGGTCACCCAATAAAGTATACAACAACAAACAAATACCTGGAGAAGAGCAGACATAAACATATGGAATGCCTGTGTATTCTGGTCTATCAAGATTGCAAACCGTCCAAAGAAGTTTACTACACCTTGCATCTACATATGTCAGCAAAACAAAATTAAGTTTAAATAATGGACACTTTAAGAGGTCGTTTGGCTCAACTTAAGCTGATAAGTAAAATTTACTAGAGTTCTTTAAAGATGTACACCATGATGAACAACACTAATAAGCAATTATGTGGAAATAAGTACCCTTAAATAATCCATGCCAGATGTCTAGGGGACCTGAATTAAATATGTTAATATTTTATACTGCGAAACTAGTTTTTAACATTTTAATAATTTAAATTAAGATTACAATACATCAACATGAACTAACTAAGCATTATGTAAATTTGCAGCAGCTACATGAATCCTTTTTGTCCTCCATGTTCAGTTCATTGAAGAATCTGTCAAAAGATCCAAGAATTCAAGTACTATACGGATGAAAATTTTATAAAATTATTGAAGGCGTATGGATCATTGATTTATCACAAGTAAAATTTTCTTACTTTATTTCCCAGCATCTATTGTCAAAATAAATAACTAATTTTGCTTAGAAATAACTTCTCATGTTTACCAAACGTGTAAATATATTTGTAATTTCAATTGACCAACCAATATGTCAAGGCAAATGTGGCTTTTGAACTTTTAAAAGACAGGTGAAGGGAGGGGGATTCACAACAGGCAGGGTCTGAAATCCTAGCTAAATCAGCATCAACCATTCGGATATGATATGAAGTCACCAATAAACACGTGGGAATATGGTCTAAGATTCACCAATTCCACAGCACACCTCTCAACCAAATTAAAAATGTTTATTAGAATCCAAAATGCCAAACAGCAGCCAGATCTAACCCTCGACGTGGGCAAACAACAAGGGCATTGGATCTGGAAAGGGAACAGTGACATCCTTATAAACAATCAGTATCACCATCATCTGAGTAGTGCACATAGAAAAGGGAAATAAGCATAAACAGTCTAGCTTACCACTCTCATTAAGGAAATCCAGAATCCTGGTGGAGAAGACGGAGCACCATATGGATTGTTCGGATCATCGCCGTACGGGGCCCCCGTTCCCATTCCATAACCTCCCATTGGGCCCCCAAAACCACCATTATACATTCCTCCTTGCATGCCACCTCCATAAAGTCCACCATAACCTCCTCTATACATGTTGTTTCCATACAATCCACCACCATACGATCCTCCAACTCCTCCACCATGTGAACCATACATCCCCGAGCCATAACCAGAATTATAATTCAAACCGGAACCATAACCTGAATAAGTAATACCCAAGGGACAGGTTTGCATCAGTTATAGAAAAAATTATAGATAAATAAATACCTCCTTATATTCACCACATGCGTGAACAGCTCTTATTAGAAATGGAATTGAAGCAACTAAACAAATTATGCACATCTTGACCTTTCTGGTGAACCTAAATTTCAGAAAAGGCAGCTAAATATGTGATTTAATCCAGCTTTACGCCCTCATTTTTTAACTTGGGAATCCCTATAAGATGTGATTTTTTTTTTTAAACGAGGCATCTGGTCTTCATATTTTTCTTCAGTGTATTTTGTACATGGTTTCAACTAAATCAAACACTAACCCAACATTATAATACAAAATACCTATCTACACAAAGAAACACAAGTAAGAAGACAACAGTGTCAACCACTACTACTTCCCAACGCTTTGGAAAAGGAATCACATCCTTATCCTAAAATAAAATATGGATTTGGGCAAAGGTTTATTGGCCTGATTTCATATGGATTAGTAGAGAAGTTCAATCAACAAGTCTTTGACATTGACATATAAGAATTCTTTGTCCAATAGAAAGGGATTAAAGTCCACTAAACTCTTAAACCAAATTCCCAAAAGGGTTTCACCACAATTCGGAGGTGGTGAAAAAGAAACGTGAAAATTGATTGACAAAGGAGAGAGAAATTTTACTCGATTCACGGGAACATGCGTTTTAAGAGGCATTTCAACTGTTCAGGCTTCACAGCAATTCCTTAGCTACTCTTGGAAAGCCAATAATATGACACTATTCCTCAAATGGATGCCAGCACCTTGCCCTAGAAACCTGGCCTCGAGACATCATTAGGATTCAAGCATTAATTCTTGACATGATGTTTTAGGCAATTGTAGTCACATACTTTTAGTGAGAGGAATACAGGGTAAGGACGACACTAATCAGTTTAAAGAAAGGAAAATAGGGAGAAGACTAATAGAGGTCTTCCTCTTCACTGATCAGCGATTGCTCGAATCCATTTTTTTTTTATCTTTTTCCCTAATTGGGTTGTAACATCATTAGGATTAGCATATCGCTGCTTCAGACCATTGTACTCTCTTCTCAGTGTTTAAACATATTTAAGTTCTTTTGCACCATAACCCTCTTCCATATCTAGGGTCGGCTACTCATATCCTCCTTTTCCATTCTACTCTATCAAGGGTCATCTCCAAAGTTAAACCATAAAGGTTTGTATCCTTTCTAGTTACCCCCCAATCCATGTGATATTGTTTGAACTTTTCCTCCAGGTTCGCCATTACTACTAGTCCCGTCATGTTTCCTGATAGGTGCTTCTGGCGGTCCATGTTGCCATGTTGGAAGTACCCAAACTGTCTTATTGGATTGCCCATAATCAATAGCTCCACTTTAGTTAACTCTTAATATACATCTCCTACCCACTTTAATCTTGTCTCGCCTTACTAAAATTCCTTAACAATTACATCTCTCCCACACTCAGTTTATGTACCATATAATATCAAGTCTTGTAGTTGTCCTAATAATATTTGAATTCACGGATCACACAAAACCAAAGACACACTCCCTCCCTTGGTAGCCATACATGATCCTTTAATAGCCTCTTTGATAGCTCTCCTCTAAATAATCGAGGATAAATATAAAAAAAATGCTCACATTTGGGTATTTCACAACCTCAATTATCTCGTGCATCCATGCAAGTACTTTTACTTCTATTTCTTCACATCATGCGCATCATTTTAGCTATTCAATTAAATAATTCACAGTATTATAGGCAGCTATGTGTCTAATTAAGGCAAGTTTCTAATTTTTCTTAATAACTAAACATTTTTTTCAACGGCTAAAAGCTTATGCATCAGAGCAATGTACATGCATTAGCCCTTTTGCCTTTACAAAGGCCAGTGACGTGTAATAGACATACTTTAAACACCAGGGCAGTAACTTTCTTCAGCAAGCACAAGGAGTAAAGATCGATCCACAAATTAACCAAAGTCCTATTATCAAGGTATTCACAGTATAAATGACCCATAAGGAAAGTGAAATTTTGTATCAAAAGAGAGCTCTATTGCTTTATCAATTTGCTGGTGGTGGTTCTAGATGACTAGATCATCACTCTTTCTAAATGAAGTCTCATCTTCTGGTTTTCTTTTTGGTTATGACTTATGAGGATGTCAAACATCACATGGATAGATTAAATTAAATGAAATGTTCTAATAATGTAACGTTCAACAGACAGGTGATAGTACAATAATGATAACCTGAAAAATAACTTTTAGCAAGTTCTATGGGGAGTGTTTTTCATTATCCGTATGAAATTTGGGCCAGTATGCTGAAAAACATAAAAATACATTTGATGCTCAGTTTTAAGAAAAAATTTATGGACGGTCATTCTATTCGAGCATTTGTGTATTTCCAGATTCCCTACCTGGATGTGTGTGTTGAGTAATAAAATATTATGAAAAATGAAACCAAACGGGCTTTAACACGGGGGAGAAAAAGAAAATGCTGTAAAATAATAAAGATACCTCCAAGCGTGCTCCCATAAGTATGCTGTTCCCATGGTCTAGCAGGTACTGGCCTCGCAAGCGTGTTTCTGTTGACAGTAGTATTCCTATCAGCAGATGAAACAACTTCACCAGGTCTTGCCGTTCCAGATGCCTCTACTACATCACTCGTGCTGCCACCAGATGGCGGTTTAAAAGGTGCAGGCCCAGAAGAGGATCCAGCTCTTTCCCATGGTTTTGGGGGAGGGCTACTACCTGGATAGGGGAATCTGTCATAGTTAATATATGGGGGCTAAGAAAATCAGTAAAGGTAACACCATTCAGACCAAAATTATCAAAACAATGTCTTGAAAGCTGTGAAATTGGAAATCAAAGTAGAATGCTAAAAAAACGTTGTTTTCCCATTTACAAACGTGCCTAATCTACTGGAAAATTAAGACAAGCAAACTCTGTTAAATCAAGGAGAGTTAATTTTTTTTGAAACATCTCTCCAAATAAATTTAAGAGTTAACAGAAGGCAATCATCCCTTCGCGTCGAAGAATTTAATGAAACTACACTTTCGATCACTGGGATATTCTAACCCCCACATAAAGATACTAACCGTAATTAAAAACAATATAGTCTATCAATAGAATCGATTTCAATTCCAAATAATCTGAGATAACTCCGAATTTCAGCTGTACGAACCTGATGGTTGGGTTTTGTTCTCCATATGCTGAAGAGAGAGAATGGACGGCCCTCGAACCAGAGAGAGGGGGGGAAAGGAGATTCTAGTAAGAGAAACTAGCGGTCTGGTCCACGATATACAATGTTGTCTATCCGAAAGGCCTAAGAAAATTCGATGGACTTTCTTTAAAATTGGATGACGATTTTGCCCTTCCAACGAACTTATGACAGGCCAAAGCGGTCAAGAATTGGTCGGTGCGACTGGGCCGGGTATTGGCGGCTGGCCTTCAATTTTCTTGGTCAGCCCGAAGTTGACTATTCCACTACTTTTTTTCATTAAAATAAAAATTTGACATTCTAAAAGAATGAATCGCATCCTTGATGTGCTCTACCTGTCATGTTCTTGACCTTGGTGAAGGAGGTAAATTGCAGGTTATGCCTCCAATGGTATAGGGTGAAAGGCTGATTGTACACTTGCACTTACCCAAATCCATATTTTAGAATTCGAACCCTTGACGCGACAGCCTCAAGCAAAACAAGAGCTTTTCCATCTTCCCTTTTACCACTTGGAGATGTGCCCTGGAGACAAAAAAAAAAAATTGACATTCTAACTCGTCTTAATTATGCTAAGTTATTAATAATTTGTGTAATTATATTAATACCACGTTTGGGCTCCATGTTTTCAAAACCAATTTTCAGTAACGTTCTTCCATAAACTAATACTACACGCAAATTCATAAAAATTTCTTATTTTTTAACCATACATTCTCAGAAAAAAAAAAAATCATTATTTCAAAATACATTTTCTCTTAAAATCTCATTTTAATAAAGCCCAAAAAGGGACTAACAGTTATTGGAGTTGTTTTCTACGGTAATAAACATTTATGCTTTAAATCTAATGTAGCATCATCAACTATTAACATGTCACCAAACCACATTTTATTATGCCAGGTTGATATTGGTATTAAGTTCCTGTTTGAACCAAATTAAAATTTAGATTTTAATATAAATCAAGATCAACAATTAATTTTAACCACATATTTTAAGGGTCCCATAACTTTTTAGCAACACGTCTTATTAATTTTTATTAAAATGTACTAAAAATGTTATTTTAATCCTCACCATACACGTGTTAAATATGTTTGGATGGGAAAACCATTGACTTTGGTTAGATCTCGTGGGCTTAATTTGTGTGGTAAACTCGCTTTTTTATTATTAATTTTTTTTTGTTGACTTAACCTAACAAGTCCCTATTTGACGGCCATTAAAATAAAATTATTTTTTCTCTACTCATTTTCAATTACACATTATCACAATAAAATAATTATTAGCCCCCGTTTGAGCCCCATTAAACTAAATTTCATTACATTAAATTTTTTTCTCTCTTTATTTCAACCACACATTCATCAAATAATTTGAGCCCCATTAAATTAAATTTCATTACATTAAATTTTTTTCTCTCTTTATTTCAACCACACATTCATCAAATAAAATAATATTACACACAAATCTAAAACTTTTCAACCACACATTCACCCATCAATCACTATTCTAAAAATTTTCAACTCCCAAAAATGAGGGGCCAAACGGGGGCTTAACGTAAACTCAAAATTTTTCATACTTGTTAACCACATATTTGCCCAAAAAATTACTATTTCAAAACTCATTTTCCTAAAAAAAAATATTTCGATGGTTGTCAAACGGGAGCTAAATAACATATTTTGGTGACACTTTTGCACTAGAGAGCCTTGCATTAATGTTAATTTATTTAATTGAGTGACAATTAGTGGAATTTTTGAAAATTCGAGGGGTTATTACCATAAAAAAAATAACTTTCATGATGATGTAACTACTGAAAATTTTAGTAACCATTGGAGTAATTAATCCAATGAGTAACAACATTTTTATCCATCGTGATTGCCTTACACACAAGTATGAAGTGCATTTGAATCCACTTTAGACAGTTTAGACAGTCCAACCAGAGCGTGCTTGGCCTAGTTGAAAAGTGGCTTCTTGTCATTACTTCAGATACGCTAATTATGTCGATTAGCATTGAAGTTTTGAACGAGACTATAGTTAATGGGCAGGCGTAATCCATCTTATATCCCAAATCAAACTCAGGGATCTATCCCACATCAACTTTGTTTGTGCCTCACTTCAAATAACACTAATCGAAAGTGTTGCTTCAATATTTACATGAACACGAAACCTGCGGAAAGCCATATCGACCAGATGCTTATTTTGAATGCACCATGGTGATTTTATTTAATGGAACGATTAGAACATGTTTAACATTATTTATACTGAATGATATTTTGTCAAATAATGTCAAAGTTGTCGAAGGGTGCAGTGAGTACATCGTATTAACTTTAATATAATAAATATTTGAGATGTAGGATTAGGATTAGTGATGGTAAGCTTAGGAAATGTTGTATTAAGCGGATAAAGGTGTATTATTCCGGTAAGTGATTTGATTTTGCATAATATATGTAGATGTCGAAAAAAATAAAATATGTTTGTTTTATTTTTAAAAGTAAGTCTTATATTATGTAAAAATATATCGCTTACTTATTTTGTACTTTGATTTAAAAAATGAGTTATTTATTATAAACTTATTTTCTTATGAGTAAATTTAATTTTTTGCTACAAGTATGTTTTGATAACTTTTTTTTCTTACTTTTAAGTAAAATAAATTAATTTTTAAAGTAACTTGGAATAAATAATTTGCTTAAATTTAGGCATAATGAATAAAAAGTTGTTTATTATAAACTTTCTTATTTAATTATGGGTGAATTTACTTTAAGAAAATTTGCTTATAAGCAAGTTTATTTATGTATAAACTCTTATTAGTAAATTTACATCGAATGAATTGTTCAATCTAAATCCATCCTCTTAAGTATACTATTCTAATTCAGCTAATTAAAAGAGGATAAACTTTCATTTAGTTGAAAATGAGTAGAAGAATGAAAATGAAAATGAATTGTTCAATCTAAATATCCAAATGGATACTAGAATCGAGAACTGACGAGTTTGATTCTATTATTTGTTCTAGATCAAATAATCGAATTTCCTTAATTTTATTTAAATATTGAAGAAGACAATATATTTTATTTTTTTCTAATTGTCAATTAACCAATTGACCGCAAGTGTACAGTATCCAACTCCCAAGGGCCAAGCCCAACCCGAGCCAAAACTATTTTTTTTCCTACAAATTTCATTTTTTATGTAGATTTGAAGACTTGGTGTAAATGAATAAATGTGACGGAATCAACGATATTTTAGCGTTATTATTTACTTTTAATAATTTGTATACATTGATGAATGGTTATTATTATACAACTTGTTCTTTATATAGTTTAAAATTGGATTATATTATTCTGCAAAAGTTAAGATTGAATATATCATTCGTTGGATTGATGTAGTGTTTTTGTAAATGTTTAAAATATTAAATATAGTACGAATCAAATTGGTTCGGTTCCATAATTAAATTTGAACACGACTGTTCTATTCATTAAATACCTAAAACTTTCTGGTTCTATTCAGTTCGATTCTCTTTGGAATCAAACTAAATCGGACCATCTCCTGGCATATTTCCTAAACTAAATTCAAATATTATTTGCACCAAACACTGCATAAGACTAAGCACGTGTATAGTTTAACTAAACAATCGACAAAAATCTAACTTAAAATCGACAATTAATTGTACCTCCATATTTGATGAGACCCACAATTTTTATCAATTTTTCAATTATACAACTTGTATCAAAATCCAAATCCATTTAAAAAAAAAAAAAAACCAAATAGGGGCTAAATTAGTTATTATGATGGTTATATTGCCATCATGAATTTTGTGTATCTACACCACTTTTTATTGCAACTAGTCAACGTTGAACGTGCATTATGCATTGTTATCAAATGTTTTATAAGTGTTGCAAAAGTAATATTTGAATATGCTTGAATATTTACTAGGGAATATATACGTAACAATAAATGTTAAATCGTTTATTTAATTTCTAATTAAGTAAAACTAGATGTTAATTAATATATATGGATGTGAATAATAAAATGCATTCTTGAATGTGAAATTCCAACTAACTTATAATTATGATTAATAACAATGAAATGCATAAATCAAGACGAATATTAATTTAATTAATGTGATTGCTAATTAATTGAGAATTAATAATAGAAAATTCATACATTAATGAAAGTACACGGGTGAAATGAATCTTTTAAATGTACATGTACATTGATGGTAACTAAATGACTAAATAAATTACATATATATTGAAAAACGAAAAGTAAGTTATTATTGAAATAATTGAATTGCGGAAAAACTGAAAAGTAATGTATTATTGAAATATTTGAATTATAGTAGGGCTATAATCGTCCAAAAAATGATTCTCAAGTAATGTGATATTTAATATATTACCCTTGTTTAGGCTCCATTATTTCACATTTTAATGAGTAGAATAATAATTTTTTGAAGAATGCGTGGTTAAAAATGAAGGAAATTTTTTTATATTTATGTATAATATTATTTTATTGAAAAATGTGTAGTTGATAAGAAGATAAAGGAAAATGGATTTAAATTTAATGGGGGCCAAATATGGGCATTATTAAGAATCAAATTCGATTTTATAATTAAAATTTGAACCCGACGATTCTGCTTAATAAATACCTAAAATTTATGGTTTCAAGGCTGTTCTCTTTAAAAACAAACCAAAACGAACCATGACCTAGCATACTTCCTAAACTAAATTCAAATATTATTTGCACCAAACACCGCATGAGATTAAGCACCTGTCTAGTTTAACTAAACAATTTACAAAAATATAAGTTAAAGTCAACAATTGTTTTTTTTTCTGTACATTTGATGAAATCCACAATTTTTATCAATTTTTTAATCGTATAACTTGTATCAAAATCCAAATCCGCTTTTTTGTAAAACCCAACAAGGGTTAAATTAGTTCTTATTATATTGCAATTGTGAATTTTTTTGTACCTACGCCACTTTTTATTGTAACTAGTCAATATTAAACTTGC